TCCAAAATGGGTCAGAGCTGGAGTACAAAGCGTTCCTAGGGATGTAACTACCAGCATGCTCCGTAGGGCTTTGCTGCAGCCTCGTTTGTGCTTTTGTGCTTTCTGGAGCATCTCAGCTGTATGGAAAAAGCGTGAAGAACCTTCTCGCGGTGGCGGGCTGAAGTCAGTGATCCATCTCCAGGAAGTAAAATCCATCTCCTAAAAGTAGCTGTGGTGAAGCACTTGGACACAGCATGGGCTCACGGTGACTTCCAAGGACAAGTGCACCCAATTGCATGTAAGCTGCCTCTGGCCTTTCCACCTGGGAGCCCATAAAGATGAGAGCTATTCTGCCTATTCGTTTTTAACTTGCTGTTTTAAAAGCAAAGGAATGATTCATTGCATGTTTTCTAGACTGAAGAATCACAAATAGAGATTCCTTTAGGGTTATGAAGTGTTGAAGGTTATGAAGGGCAGCACAGTTGGGTATAAGCTTGGTGGGAGATGCGGGAGGCTGTGGTCGGGTCCACTTTAAACAGGCCTGCCACTGCTTCTCTAATCACATGTTAATTTAAAGCAGGGATTATTCTTGTAAAGCCGTAATTAATTTAAATTATGCCCATGCAACTTCAGTGCATATGGGAAAAACCTTAAAGTAATGCAATATAAATGTAAAGTCAGTGTAAAATGTCTTGTAAAGTCAAGTGTAAAGGCAAAGTCAAATCATGTTGGTGCAGAGAGCAACTCTGGCTGTGCCCCGGCCAGCAGCACACAGGATGGCATCTCTTGTCCTGCAGCTCTTGGGCATGCAGGGATGGTGCTTGGGGCTGTGCAGCTTGCAGGAGTCTGGATAAACGCTAGGGCTCTGTGCAGCCTCAGGCTTCAGAGCCCTTTGCCTCGACCTCTGTGCACGCATCCTCTCCACTGCATCCGGGCTGATCCTGCCACCCAGCATGTGGAGATGGGGATGTGGTGATGGTGCCAAATCTGCCTTTTGTGTCTAGCCTGAAAGCAGAATAAGGCAATTGCACCCAAAGAAGCGGGTTGACAGAAGGCTCTGGGCTTTTTCACTTGGACAGGAGTGCATCTCTCAGTCGCCTTCTCTTTGGCTCTGAGAGGAGGTGTCTGTACCAATGGTTTCCAGAACGATTCGGTGTTATTTGGGCTGGACTTGAACTAGCTAGCCTCTGTTTATTTTGTGGCTTTCTTCTCCAGTTTGATCAGTGAACCAAACAAAGTGCAGAGCTGCCTTTGGCCCATCCCAAGGCATGTGCAGTGCCATATGCTTTTTTTTTTTTTTTTTTTCCTCTAACAGGCCATGTGGAAGAGCAGGGGACAACTCGTTTGAGGAACATTTAACCACCTCCTTTATGAAACTCAGAGTCCTTGGCAAGAAAGTAAGCCCCTGGCTCTGCTTGCAGCTTGAGATGCTGGATGGACACAGTGCTCATGCTGGGCATCCTGGCCTCTTCCCTCTGGAGAGAGGCTGGGAGGGAGCAGCTCTAGATGCCATGAGTGTCATCTGCTTGATCCGTGTGCTTGCTGGAGCTCCTGGGGCCCGTTAGCCTGCAAGTAACCACCTGGCAGCACCAAACCTGAACTGAAGGCACCTCTGAGAGCGGGGCTGTCTGCTGGTCCTGCTGGGAATCCTATGGGAGAACCTCAAGGGCTGGATGGAGCCTCTGCACTTCTGCAGCGCAGCTGCTCCGTGCTCCTTGCCTCCTGCTGCCGGAGAGCCCCAAGTCGCGTGCGTGGATCTGAGCACCACAAACTGGCTGGCCTGGTCTAGGCTTGGTGGCCCAAAGAGCTTAAAAACCTCTTGGGAACCTTCACGGAGTACATTCATTTCAGTGGATCCTTTGCAGTGAGCCTGCTTGCCTTTCGCTGTCCCCTGGGAAGCAGTCCCTGGGGGTCTGAGCTTGGGGGTGAAAAGCAGTCCTCTCTGCAGTGCTGCTGTGCGATGTTGAAAGCAGAACATTTCAGACTGGTTTAGTGGAAAAAATATGTAAAACAAGCCTAGTGGGCTCTGCAGAAGGCTGAAACCCATCTTTGTGAACGGTGGTACCTGCCTTGGCTCTCTGTAGGGCTGGTTCTTAGCATCACTGGTGCTTGGCAAGCTGGGTGCCATGGTAGTGGCCCTCCACTGGCAGGGCTAGTGGCAGGGGCAGAAAGGACCCAAGAAGACAGGGCAGGGGACACACATGTCTTGGGTCTGATTTGTTGTCCGGATGTTCAAACCATGTGGTTGCTCTTAGCCCAAACCACGTTTGAATCTAAATATTGGCTTTAGGTGTCATCTTGGCTGCTTCTTGCAGTGTCCCACCACTGAGCCATCCTGGATGTGATCACAGCAGTAAACATTTGAGTCATGGACACGTCTGTAACACAGAGAAGGCCAGAGAGGTCCAGTTCTTTTCAAGGAGCCTGGAAAGTGGGGTCGTGCTGGGAGAAATCTGCTCCGGAATAGCTGTGTGGTATGGGATGCAGCTGATTGCTCTGCTTCTCTTTGGGTCACTCCTTAGGTTTAGGGCTGATGTGTCCTAGAATAACATGTGTTATCCTAGGTAAGAGAGGCCAGCTATTTTAAAAGCATAACCTGTCCAAAGGAGACATCCTGACTAGTCAATGAAGAGTTTTGGCTACAGACAAACACCAGCTTTAAAAGTTTGGAGGCAGAGGGCGATTTTTATGCATCGTGTCAGGTGTTCAGAAGAGGAACTTTATGCTCTCCTAGAGAGATCTGACTGATCTATTCTGCAGCACTAAGCGAAGCCTGGGCCTCTGGGCAAGATCAGGGAGGCCTTTGTGTGGCTGCACGGGGTGATCCCTCACCCCGAGCTGCTTTCACGCAGGGAAGCAGCTTCTGAGCACAGTTTGTCTGCACGCGGCGTGCTCAAGGGCAAGTCCCTGCCCAAACCGAAGCTGTACCGAGTTCTCCTGCTCGGAGATTAAAGAGCTCAGCCCTTGGCCAAGGTTGATCCAAGTGGGGCATGCCCGGTAAATGCACAAGCCCTGGGAGATACTGTATGAAGCCATGACATTTAATGTGATTAGAAATAGACTGCCAAGGAAGACAACTGTGACTATGCTGTCCGGCTGGAGTGGGTTTTCTGGCCCCTGAGGATTACAAATCAGGGAACAGTTAAACACAGTGGTGCGCAGGTCCCATTTAATGTGCTGCCCTGGCAGGGGTGCTTGGGAAGGAGACCATTCCTTCCCTGGCTATTGTAGGGGGATAACCAGGACACAAGTACCACTGTGTAGCCTTGAGCCAACTTATCAGAAAACACTGTGATGGCTCTGTTTAAAAAAAAAAAAAAAAAAAAAAAAAAAAGGCGGGGGGTGGGAATGTATCTGTGGGATGTGATATTCTAACTCTCCCTCTTCCCTCCGGTTTTAAACAGGCTGGAAGAGAGCCGGAAAAGGTTCAGGGAAGGGTGAAGGGGATCATGGACCTTTAATCGAAATGGGACCCTGCAGGCAACTGCCGCAGGGGTGCAAGAGGTCTGCCCAGGGGAATGAAGTTTGGGGAAGGCGAGAAGCTTGATTTTCAGTAGAGGTGGCGGCAGGCAGTCCTGGAGGCTCATGGTGCGCACTGGTAGGAGACACAGCACGGTGCAGCGGATCTGTGGAGCTCTTCGCGGCTGCGTTGCGCCGCTAAGGGGATACGGACGGTGCAGAGCTTGACTTCACGTAGATGGCAGGGAGAGGAGCTTCAGGGCGCTATGGTGCTGCTCGCGTCTTGTTTCTGTGGTGCTGGAGAGGAGCTCTATGGCCAGGGGCATCTCCCATGCCCTGGGGTGCTTGGGCTCTGGTCGGAGCCTTGTGTCTTCTAGCAGGATGGTCGCTCCTGCTCTTGTAAGGACCCTGTTGCTGCCGTTTGTCTTGTTATTGCCCAAGGGCATCGCTTTCAAAGGTCAAGTCTCTTCAGGATTGAGCCAAGCACCTTGTATCTGCTTTTTCTTAAAGATGCTCAGAAACTGTTGAAGCAGCGAGCATGCAAGTCAGGATTCATAAGCAGATTTAATGCCTGAGCGTGACAGCAAAAAAGCCGCAAGAAGCCAGCGCCACTCAGAGGATGTCACTGCCCCCTCTGGCAACTTGGGGCAGTTGTGCTTCCCTGCTACCAGATTGAGGGTTTGCAAATAACGCGTTGGTTGTTGGATGAAGATGTTGCTTGGCTGGGGTCTCCTCCGACCTCGGAGCAGAGGCCGCGATCAGCAGGAGCTCCTGCTAGGAACCGACGCGTGCCTGGTGCCGCTGTGGTCCCTGGGCTTTCTGCCAGGCCCTGCCCTGTCCTGGAGGTGGCCTAGTTTTCCTTGGCCGAGCTCCCTGCATCTGGCTCCCGGCTAAGCCAGGAGCCTGCCCTAGGTGACGGGGCTCATCCCCTCCGTCAGCCCGCGGAAGAGGGGACAGAGCGGGCTCGCCAAGTGCAGTGGTGGGGCCAGAGTGGCCAATGCAGTTCTTCTTAATGCCTGTGGCTACTTGGGGGCTTTTCTGGCCATGCCGTCCGCAGCCTCCTGACCCTGCTGGATGCTTCCCATGCTGCTGCCTTGCAGCTCCCTCCTCCTCCAGCTCTGCATAGAGTTGTGCAGGGGAGCAGCTGAGTTACCCTGTCTGCATGCGAGCATTTGCCTTAACTAAGTCTCAGGATAAGAGTGGATTTAAGTGCTTTGGTTTATAAATAAACAGCACTTGTGACCAAGGTAGATTTAAGCAGAGCTGGCACCAGCCCTACTTGGGAAGGGATCTCTCCACCACATGGGCTGCTGTTGGACTTCCTGTTGTATGCTAATCCTTTAAGCCTGCTTTAGCTCTGTTAATTTTCCTTCTTTCCTTTTTTTTTTTTTTTTCCTCCCCCCCTCTCCCCAGTGAGCTGCTTCGGTGGCGCGTGAATGCCAGCGTTGCTTGTGCCTGCGGCTGGGCTGAGCAGTCAGGCTGCCTTCCGAGTGCCGGCTACCATGTGGCAGGGCCCCAGGGATGGTGGTACCTGAATGCATCCCCTTCTCTCTGTCTTACAGGCTCTGCAGCCTGCGCCTGAAGAAGCTCACCGTGCTGAAGGAGCTGGACAAGGAGCTAAGCTCCGTGCTCATCGCTGTGAAGATCCAGGTAGGCTCCCTTTCTTGCTTTCTGGGGCCACCAGCTGCTGCCTGGTGCTGGCCAGTAGTGGGATTCAACCTCAGCTGCGGGATCAAGGGCTCCCTGGGTGCCTTGGTCAGCTGCCACCTCTGGGGCTGCTGCTGGGAGCTCAGCTGCCCTTGCCCATCCTGCTCCCCAGCCCTTGGCCCTGCTCAGCAGCCAGAGACTTCTGGCAGTGTCCTCCATCCACATGCCCCCAGGTGAAGCACGGGAGGAGGGGAAGGTGGCAGAGCTGGGCAAAGGATTGAGTGCCTCCTTAGGTGACTTCTGCTTTGGCTTCTGCACTCTGTGTGACCCTACCATGTTCTCCGCTGTCCCCCCTTTTCTCTGTGTGCCTTGGCCTGGAAAGGCATCTCTACCTGTATCTCTACCTGTCCTGGGCAGAGGGGACATGGAAGCGTTTTCTCCCCAAGTGGAGAGGCTCTTTGCCCCCATCCTGTCCCCCGCTGGCAGTGGGGAAGGGATGACCCCCGTAGGCAGGGCCACGTCCTCTCCCGCTACCGGAGCTGGGCCAGGAGGTGTGATGCATCTCGCGTGCGCTGTCCCTGATGTGCCTCCCCTGCCCAGCTGCAGTGCCCGTGCCCTTTCTTCGTTCTTGTCAGCTGGCGGAAAAGCTGCTGATCCCATTGAAAGCACCGTGGGGTGGGAGCTCAGCGGCTTTGTGCTCCTGCCGAGCTCTTTGTGCCACACACATTAGAAGCTAAATCCCGGATAAGCACTAGAAGCTGCTGTATTAATGGAGCTCTGGGAGCTGGCATTTGCCTTCATGGCAGACTCGATTCACTCGCCTAGGAGAGTCTGTAAGCGAAATGTGAAAAATGTGGAGTTTGGAGGGGGAGGAGGAGCAGGACCCTGTGGTCCACGTGCTGTTGGTTACACCTTTCCATCACCGTGTGCGTGATGTGTGTCATCAGGAGATGATGTGTATGCTGAAAGCCCTGGGCTGTGTCCTCTGAGACCCCCTCACCCCTGAGGAGACAACTTGGGCAGGGAAGAGCTGCTGACCCCCCAAAGCCAGGGATGCCAGAAAGCAGCGGGGTGCTGGGGGGCTCCCATGCAGGTGGGAGCATTGGGCTGCTGCTCTGTTCCTGTTACTCCTCGCTGCCTGGGCTGTCTGTGCTCCTCTTCCTCCCTGGGGCTCCTTGCAGCCTCCTGGAGCTGCCGAGTGCCACGCGCGCGTGTCCTCAGCTGCGTCCTCCCTCGCGCGCTGCAAACGTGAGTCCGCATAAGAAGCTGACCAGCAGGAGCCTGGCTCTTCCAGATGCATCCCCCTGTTCCTGCCACGGGCCTGACCCTGTATCCTGCTGTTGCAGGAGGTCAGCCAGTCTCAACAGTGACTGAGACCATGTGGGCTACTCTGCTTCCCTTGATATTCAAGTCATTTGAGCAAGGACCTTGGGTGGCACCTTCTCACCTCTTGGTGGGGCCACCTGCACGCACAAGCTCCCCACAAAGCTGAAGGAAACGGGAGGAGTAGGTTCCTGCCCACACCAGCCTGCAGCTTGACGCTCATTGTGGGTGTGGGATGGATTTGTGCCTCACTGATCTGCTTCTGCCTGCCCCAGCGGCTGCTTTGGCAGAGTTGGGGGCTGCCGAGCCGTCCTGGAAGGCAGATGGGAGTTGTAGGCAGGATCAGCAAAGCCTGCCCACAGCGTGGCCTCAGGGGGACCCATCCGTCCTGTGCTTCTCCTGGGTAGTGGGTGAGTCATGCTGGCGAGAAGCGTTTGAAGGCTGTCTGGTGAGTTGCCATCTCTAGCTTTTGAATGGAAGCAGGTGACACATGTAACTCGTTGAGGACCTGCAAGTTCCGAAGGAGGGCAACTGGGGTCTAGCAAAAGAACAGCTCGGTTTTCTTTTAGCTTTGCTGAGCTAAGGCCTATTGGGAAATTACTGCTCTCAAGGGCAAACTACATAGAAACAGAGATCTTACCCTGCCTCATGGTGGAGCTTGGATGAAGATGGCCACCCTCCATGTGGAGAAAATCCACTAGATGAATGTACGTGACCTGAAGGATGGTGTAAGCCTGTCTTGAATATCTACTGTCCTCACAGTGATGGAGCATTTCTGCTCTTAACGGATAATTTCCAAATGATATATGTTCTGCCATCTGTTCCTTCATCCAAGAAGACCTCTGACAAAGGGTTAAGGGAAGATTTTTATGTCTACTTAACATAGTTTTTCATCAAGCAGAAAATTGCTTATATGCCTTGTCCTGTTTCCCAAAGGTGAATTGAATAACTAATGTCCTAAATCAGTGAAGTCCAGGGAGAAAAAATCCAGACTACTGTGAAGAAGAGAGCTTACTCTTGCATCCATGGAGTGGTTTTTAAACCTCTTTTTATGCTTAGTTATTTGTTTTGACAGCTTGGAAACGTCATAAGAGTGTTTCCTACTGTGTACAGTTCAGCGTGGCATTAAGAGACCCAGATGTGCCGCTCGGCTCTGTAAAGGTGCAGAAAACAGTCTTGGCTGCTTATGTGTGTTCACTTGGCAGAGGGACTTGCTGTAATTCAGAAATGCCTGATCTCGAGCCATGGCTAGAGGCCACAAAGAAGGAGGACGGCTCGTCCCAGCGCTCGCAGAGCTTGTGGCTCCCGTGATGGTGCCATGGGAGGGATGCGCCCGCCCGGCAGCTGCTGGCAGGGATGTGGCTGGTGACTCAGGATCAACCCTGGCACAGCAGAGTACGGATGGTGCCTCTGTGTGGTGGACCAAAGCCTGTGCTAGAAGATGGTCCAAACCTTGGCTCTGCCTGTTGCTGCCAGCCTTGCTTCTGCCCAGGCCCTGTGCCCCGCAGGGAGTAGGGGTTTTCATTCCTTGACATGCTTGGGAAGTGCTCCCAGGGTCTTCTGCTCCCACCTCGCTCATGCTTTGTGTCTGATCTTTCTGCAGCCACCTGCAGTATTTATCACTCCTGCCTAATCAGTTCCAACTACCCCTTAATTAACTAAATTTGCTGCTGATGTTTAATGAGCTGCTTTCTCTCAAAATGCTCCTTTAGCTGAGCTCTGGGCTGTGCTTTGCTGTCTGCCTTGGCCTGACCTCTGCGTGCATAACTGAGGAGTCCTGGGCCCATGCAGGTCCCAGCCGGGGCTCCAGACAGAGCTGTCGAGGCCTTGGAGCAGCGCCCCGGGACTCTGGGGGTGACCTCGTCCCCAGGAGCTGCCTCTTTTCCCTGCCTAGAGCTCAGTCCTCCTGCAGCCTTCTCTCTTCCCAGCAGAGCTGACCCAGCTCTCGCAGCTTCTGCTTGTGTGTGCCAGGTCACTGCATCCATAAAGGACTGACCCACACTCTCAAGTGCTGCAGTCCGGGGATCTCAAGGCTCTGCTGCTGTTCCCTTGTCCCCCTACTTTGCCAGTGACCAGCGTGTGTCCCTTGTGATGCCATGTGCATCCGTGTTGCGCTGAGGACCACAGCCTAGGCTGGGAGCTGTGTGTGTTGCTCCCATAATGGTGAGTGACACTCGTGTGCAGGGTTGCAGCATTCACAAAAGCTCCCTGCACTGCACACAACACAGGCTGTTTTCAGCCTTCCCTTGCTGTACTCTGCTCCCAAGGGAAAAAAAAAAATCTTGGGGAAGAATAACTGCACCAGTATGTGTGGCTCGATGAAGGACTGAATCTTTGTGGGAAGCTGCAAAGCCCTAGAAAGAGGTAGTAAAGATGGGACAGAAGAAAAGGGAAAAGTGTAAGTAGCTCAGGAGAACTTGCAGGCTTTTGTGGAGCTGACTGGAGTGTGAAAGGTGGCTCCGTGAGACAAAACCGGACTGAAACAAGGCACCAGCTCTTTCTTGTGGACTGCGGACAACATTTGCTGTATGTATTTCGTGCGACCAAGTCTGTGGCCAACATGCTCTGCCTTAGCACCGAGCGTGTCTCAATCTTGTTGCAGGGTTCGAAGCGAGTGCTGAGATCCAATGAATATGTCCTCCCACCAGGCGGCCTGATGGAGACCGAGCTGGAGCTGACGTTCTCACTGCAGGTATCTTGCAATGCCCCATTTCCCTGGCTTGCTGCCATTGCTCAAGTTGTAACAGTGAAGAGACCTGCAGGTGCTCTAGGGGGTGGTTTTGCTGGGCAGATTGGACCTGAAGGAGGATGAGGACTACTGGTGCCCTTTGAGGGGAACTTCAAACGTCAGCAGAATGAGACCCTATTGCCCATTGACCTCAAGGAAGAGTCCCATATACTGCCATCTCCCTGTGATTTCCCTCCCCAGTACCCACACTTCCTCAAGAGAGATGGCAACAAACTGCAGATCATGCTGCAGCGGAGGAAGAGGTACAAGAACCGCACAATTCTGGGCTACAAGACCCTTGCAGTAGGCATCATCAACATGGCTGAGGTAAGGGGCTTGGCACGGCCTCCCTGTGCCGTGCTGGGGAGGAAGGTGGGCTGGAGGGCACCCGCTGTTGGCAGTCCTGTGGTTTGTCAGCCAGTCGTGAGGCTGCGAGCCACCACCGTGTCACCCTAGCAGAAGGCTTGTCTCTCTGCCCAGGTGATGCAGCACCCAACCGATGGAGGGCAGCTGCTGGGACTCCACAGCAACATGAAAGACGTGAACATCCGGGTGGCCGAAATCAGCATCTATTCTTTGTCTAGCCAGCCCATTGACCATGAGGATGGGAGCGTCCCTTCTGGTCCTAAAATCAAAGCTTCAGGTGTGTTAATGTTCGTCATAGACCTGCGGGCAAGGGTTTGGGGCAGGACATGGGTGCTGCAGTGTGTCTCCAAGCACCTGCCAGCAATACTGAGCATTTTTCTGGAGCCAGGTGTCAGTCTGGGGAAATGCTGCACTGTCTGTTCTCAGATCGTTCTCCAGACATCGATAACTACTCTGAAGAAGAGGATGATAGCTTCTCCTCAGAGCAGGAAGCCAGCGATGATGCTGTACAGGGCCAGGTAAGGGGACTTAACAGGGTAGCTCATGTTATGACCCCAACTCCAGGATAGGGAGTACAGACTGAGGGTCTCCATCACCCTGAGCCCTCTCATCTTCCATTCAAACATTTGTCATGGTTTCAGTCAACAGAAAACTAAGATATCTTAATAGTGGGAAAGAGCCACTGTCAGACCTGTGGTGGGGTGGAGGGCTCTGGAGAGCAGTGGTGTACTTGGAAGACCTTTAGGTCTTGCCCATGTGTCCCAGGAGCTGTCTTGTCTGCAGAATAAAAC